TTGATCAGCTGCTTCGGGTCAAGTGATTGCAAAGCGTTTGCTGAAGCTCGCGGTTTCAAGCATGCAAAGCAGTCGATGGCCCAACAGCAATTAACCGGCCCGACAGGACAGTGAAAACTGTGAAGTCAGTGGAGTAAAAGGCCGGAGCCGAAGAAAGAGGAGCGACACTGCAGACCGTCGGGACAAGAGACTGAAGCAGGTCGACATTTGCAAATTTCAGGGAAATGTCTCACAAAACTGGGGATGGCAATTAAAGTTGTTACAAATATTGACGTCGTCCTCTGGAAGAACTGTAAAAGCAATATGGATCCTTTTACATTTTCATCCAGAGCCAGTGAACAATATATATGACCAAATAGCTGCAAAACTAATTAACACATCACAACTAATTAAAAAATAAACACAATGTTCAGGTTTATTGTCAAGCTAATAAAACCAAACTAAACCAAACCAAACCAAACCATTCCACCTTTGATGCACAGTACAGCATCATCAATACATCAACCAGAGTGGGGACATTCTTCTTCTTCACTGGGATTAACAAGATAAATTCAGGGCCGTTTATCTATGAACCAGCAAAAGTATACTACTATAAAATAAACATGAAATAGTCAGAATGACCCACTGAGCACAAATTGCAGTTGAAAAAATAGCAACAATTGCTGAATGGCAAATGGCCATTTTCTGCTGCAGTCAACAAACAAAGGTGATGTTTTCGAAGTAAGTGGCTGAGGTTCTGATTCCACTAATAATAACAACTGAGACGGGAGTCACGGCTGCATGGAAGATATGACGGGAACGTATTGCATAGAAAATAAGTAAGTGTTTCTATTGACTAATTGATGAAAAACCGCAAGGCCAATGAATTTTAATTAAAAAACAAAATAAGTAGAATCAGCCGAGGCAGCAGGTCAAAACTATCATTCTGCCATTTTTTGGGGAAAAACATACGCTCATTCACCTTTTTCCATTTCTGTGTTTTAAAGACTCTCACATGAACAAGTAGTTAGAACTTTTTATGCTAGACGCACACGAATGCTAAAAGGTGTTTCGGTGTCAAGACGCCGAGGGACACTGAGCAAGCTGTGGGGGGGGACGTGTTGACTCAAACAGACTGCACCAAAAGTATTAACTGGTTCCCTTGTGTTTTATGATTGTACGTAAAGTCCTGCTCCCTGTGTGATTGCATAGCGAGGACGAGCGGCTTAATTGTTGGGCGCTCCTGCAGGGTGACCTGATTTCCTGAGTGCCCTTTGGGTTTGCCATTACCACGAGGGCCCGTGGGTCTTCTCCTTCCTGCCCCGTGCAAATCTCACAATCAATAAATCATTCATAATCACCTCCGCTTCGCCTATTGGCATCGGGCAATAGTAGTTTGCTTCATGGACCTCTAATCTCAGTGGCCTCTGGGTAGGTGCTAAACAGTCACCCGAGAATAATGTGTGAGCGGTAACAGAGTTCATTAGATCACGATCAAAAGACCGGCCGGCCTGCACTGGGGGTAATTATAAGGCGGTTGCCCTGCACATGTAATGGATAAATACTATATTATTCGTTTCAGAGTAATGCAGCTTTAACCTTTTGCGCTCGCAAGGTTAACACATGAAGACAAGGCTGCATCGCTGACCTTTTCCTTTCTGTAGACAAAACCAAGCAAAACGATGATGCTCAGGCTTCCACTAAGTGCCGCTGTAATGGAGTCAGCCTGCAACGAATAGAATTTATTTCAATGTAAGGGATTCGGGGATATTGAGTAATGAGTCCAGAGCAGCCCGACAATCTCGTACATCACGCATGAACTCAGAAGTATATTTTCCATGAGTGATAGCTTGCCTCCAGCCTTCACGTTCTAATCAATAGCGGTATCACCTTTACTTATTTAAGGTGTTGGCTCATTATGTACAGCCCTTGAGGTATAATAAGCGCCTGAGGTGAAAATGTAATTAAAAAGATAATATCTTCCTCTACCCGAGTCGTCAACTGAATACTGAATATTAAAGGTGTATCGGTGTCTAAAGTAAGCCTAACCAGCGAGCACGAAACATGAAAGAAATATATTTTTCCGTGACAGATCTCCTCACGTCAGTCCAATCCTCCATGTTTGGATCAATAACGCCGTATCCATTTATTTAAGACGTTCGTTAAAACGTTTCACTGCAGACTCACCAAGCAGACGAAGCCTGTCAAATGTATTCCAGCTTTTTCGTTGCTCCTCAAGGTATCGCCCTGTGTTTGTGTTAATTAGTAGAGCTTTTTTTAACACTGCCTGCTCACACTGGTTTATGCATTTAATAATGATTTCCTGACATCAGGTTGAGTGTGAACTGACAAAGGAGGTAGAGGGCAAATATACACACAAAGTGACATATTCAGTCCCTGTTTCTCCCCTTACTTTGTCTCGGTCTCAGTCTACGTACACTCATGATACAATTAGCAACGCAGCACGGATGAACCTGTGCAGGTGACGGCTTTTCGAAAGGAGGTTGAAGTACAACTGCATTCTTTACAGAGCAGAATTATGACAATTTTTACTCTCACTCCAGGCCTTCAAGTCTCACGCTACTCCTCCCGGTGCAGCCGGTGATCCTGTGATCCCCCCTTGACATGATGGTGGTGGAGACACGTCCTGAGTTCTCTGTGATTAGCTTCTTTTTTTTGCTGCCTCAGCGCCATCCTTAACGCTATATGCTGCAACCGTCCTGCTGCTCTCCAAAAAACTTTTTTATCAAACAACCCGGGGTTTTTTTCCCCAAAGGGGGGGGGGGGGGGGGGGGGGGGGAGGCTGTTATCCTTACTGTGCAGAGTGATGAGATCGCAGCCTGAACGCCCAATATCACCTCTGCACGTCGACACATGATAATAGCGTGTGAGCGGACGGACTGAAATCCGAGCAGTTCATTAGTCGGCTTCATTTTGAGGCTTTGATCTACTTGAGCTCAGTAAACTTTGTATCTCTCGTCATACATTGGACTCTTTTACGGTAGAAATGGTTCATTGTCCCGGGGACAGTCAACGGAGACAATTGTTGGCCTCACTACTTTAGTTTGTTTTAATTATGCCCATTCCGCACAATGCCATTGGTTGAAGCTGGTTGAAGGTGGGAAAAGGCTTTTACATAAAATAAATAATACCAACACTGATTATTTTGGACATTAATATCTTTTCTTTTTTATTAAGACAAGAACTCTTCATTGTTTTGTAAAAATGTCTATTTATGAACCAATACAAAATGTGTATGGGAATGTGGAACTCCTTTTCTCCATTAATACACATTAACATTTCCCAAGAACAGCAGAGAGACAAAAAAGAATCAATCCTAAAACAATGACTGGTGACACAATCAAAACTGTTCGGGAATCATAAGTGCTTCCAAAGGCGGTGGTTTGTCGTGCAGCCACAACAAGTGTCTGGTCCGGCTTCCTTTCAATAAACAGTGTACTCTTTATGACCTATGTCAACACAAAGCAATACTTAACACATATTTTACAGTGCACCAAATATTAAGAAAAATACAGAAAACATGTACAACATATATGCAAAATACCGCCAATTTCCCTTCTCGGGTCTAAAACAATGTGTTGCACGTGATCGGATGGGGATGCATTGTACTCGTACGTCATTGGTCGGGCCTGGACTTTGCATTCTACCTGAGATGCAGTCATGTCGGTCAGCAACGCATGAAACCAGAGACAGGACACTATCAAAAGATTTTAATGTGGAGAAAACTACACCAGTTACACTGTAAGACCATTTTTACTTTACCGGGCATTTAGAAAATACAGTTATACACACAGTAACCTAAAATATCATCCTTCTATTCATTTCAAATTGAGATTGATTTTTAATCCTCATCAATGTTGAATATATTAACCTACTTGAATGATATTTTTATGTTTTGCTCATGGTACTTTCTATATTGGAACTTTGGGAGAGCAAAATTATAGTAGGTAAAACATTTGGAGAAACTCACTCCTGCCGTCCCAACGCACAACAGATTCAATGTGCACGGATAAAATATTAATGCATCAGCCTCAACGGAAAAGACAATACTCAGTTCTATTCCTTTATTGGCAAGTACATATTTTGAAGTCTGATTTAAATGGAAGCTACCACATGTCACTGAAGCGAAATAGTGCTCACTGTTAAATACAAACCGCACACTCTCCTGCAGATGAAGTGGCCTCTGCTCTGTGATTCATAAAGCAACAATAACAAGTCCGTTAATAGTTTTATCAGACACCAGACTGTAAAACATCAAACCTAATTTTAACCATTCCCCACCCCTACCCCCACCCTCCCACGTAACAAACACAAAACAGTGTCATCAGCATACAGTGTTAACTTAGTGGTAATTCCTATGTGAGTACAGAACTTTTAAAATGACTTCAAATCTTAACAGGAGAATTAACAGCTGGAGAGCGATGAACACGTCATCTTTGTATGCAAACATCGCTCCCGCTGCGCCCATCTACAACCGCTACGTCACGGAAAAGCTAAACACGGTCACAGCTGCCACGCGGCCCTCCGACTGTCCTACTTTTAAAATGCACACATATGTTATGCTCAAGACAGGGAAATATGTGTAATGCATCTCACGAGCAGCTTCTCAACTCCCCTTTGACAACTTGCTCACTGGCAAAAGCCCCTTTCTGTAAAACTAAACTGCGTTCTCAATTATGTTTTGGGGAAAAGTATTTTCTCCCGGATTATAGCCGTAGTTTAGACAAACAAAATTTGGCCGAACATCATGGTTTGGATTCACTCCACAAGTGGTTTTCATTTCTGTCCACGATGCACGTGGGACTATGCACCTTCATTTGTAGTGCAGTGTATTGAATCCGGGATTTCCAAGGATTGGAGGAGTTTCAGGAAGGAACAGAGACTCAAAACGACTACATGAGAGTAAATGTTGTAAGTGGCTCAACTCCTTGGGTACATTACTGTGATGGATTCTTGCACAAGCTACATATCATACAGCAATGTGGTGAGACTCACAACGAGGCAGTGTTTCTTGTTCGACGTGACGCCACTAACCAGCCTCAATAGAACGATATCTTCCACCAGGAAACTTTTTTTTTTAATGATTAATTTATAATCATTATCATTTTTCAAAAACAAACGGGAGTAAATACGTAATTGAGAATGCAGTTTTGTCGTATTAGAACAGAATTTTTATGACACAAGGGTGCTTTGAAACAACCCCAAAACCACAATCCCAATGTGGAGAGACTGAATGCTGTCTTCATGCACGACTATGATATATTAAAGCTATAACATTGTTAATGTGATGCAATCTGAGCTGCACCAACAGAAATTCCAACTTAATGTGTTAACATGGCAAAAAAGTATTGAATCTTGGATTTGAGTGTTCACACAGCGAGCAGCGGCGTCGTGTGACTCCAAACCGTGTAGCTTTTATTAGCGCCGTCGAATGATGTTGTATTCTACAGGAATAGTTGCAGACACTCTTGGCAACTCGTTTGGAATGACACCACCTAGACCTCCACCTCAATCTACCCATAGCTGATGTAAGGGCTCATTAAGCGAGCTGCTTGCTGTGTGAACACATGATGATGACAAACAATGCCATGAATAGACCCTTATTGCCATGTTAAGAAGCCAGGACATTAAATGTAACCCCTGGATTACCACCCTGGAGCACAACATGTGGATTAAGTTAATTTACTAACAGTTAATTACTTTTGGCATTCCCAGCCAGTGCTCCCCAGCTGGCACAGCAAAACAGATCCCCATTCAGTTTTGGAAGGTGATACATGAAGCCCGATAGAGAGGATAAAATAATGAGTCGTAGCACGTACACACATGCAAAAATATTACCAATTGTTTACACACTCAAGCTGCTGCATGGACGAAAAATATAGTTTTAGAAGGTGATGGAATTGGAAAGACTGGACTGTCCTTCACAGCAACTCAGTTTGAACACATATACTTCCATTTTGACCAAACTGACGAGTGTCACAGAATAATATCCACCAAGATACTCCATTGCAATTCTGTTAAGTTGTAAAAAATATTTCTTAGTAAGGATTAGTGTACAATACAACTGTGATTCCATTGGCTTGATTTACATTGGATAGTGTGTCTATGGATGTGTTGTGCAGCTTACGTGTCCCTAAAACCAATTTAAATGTGTTTTCAGAGGCCCTTTCTCTTTTCGGGAAAGTTATGTACAATACAGCAGCGTTTGTCGCCTGCTAGATGGGCAATATTAGTAGCAAATATTCTTTTCAACAGCCTTTTATTATCGAGGCATTTTGACTGCCAAAACCAATTTTAAAACAATTTACATTTTCTTACATTCCCATTTGTAAGAAAAATATTCTAAAGTGAGAGCAGATGGAATTGAATTGAATCACGTCATTACAACTCAATAAAAGCTAGTGGGAAAACAGAGCTTCCATCCAGACTAATAGAAGAAAAGAAATACTGAACAGAGAAAGAAATCAAAATAATGAAATAGCAGAAGAAAAATAATGTACTTCTTTTTCTTTACTAAGAAAGGTATTTTTTAAGAGGCAGTAGTACGTCTGCTTTGAAGAGAACATGAATTTAAAATTTGAATTGCCTCAATAAAATAATTTGATATGATCCCTTGCTGCCTTCTTTTTGAATATGTTTTGGATGTTTAGGGCTGAGGGGGTGCGTGGGGGGGGGGGGGGGGGCAGGGACAGCAAACACAGTACATTAAACCTGTTTCTCATTTATGTCCTTTGTACAATGATATGTAAAGCATTCCATGCATTTTCGGAGCTGTCAAAACTTTAGGGGGAAGCAAAGGAGAGGGAAGTAATGGCTTGAGACAAATCACAGTATACTGGAAAGAGTTTTTGTTATGCAGCAGAGGAAGCGTGTGTGCAGACACATTTAGGGGAAATGAATAAAGAGGCTCCGTAATTTTACCCTCAAACAAAAAAAGCCAACAGCACATCGATGATGTCGAGTGGGAAAGATGAAACGGGGGGAGGAGAGAGGGGGGGGGGTGGGGGGGCAACAAAGTTATGCAAATGAGGATCAACACAAATCCAAAGTACGGATAGAACAAGGCACAGAATTTTCTGCAAATGGTTGAACTAAATGAAATTCGTACCAGCAGTTGGGGAGGTGTGGAAATGGTGAAGCTCTCTACCGTGATTTCTGGCAACGGCGTTGCGCAGCTTTCCCACCCGCGACCCCGTCCCCGTCCCACTTTACCGAAAACCCTCCCATTTTTTGTCCTTTTTTTTATTTTTTATTTTTAATTTTTTTTCCACGCACAAAACATTCCATCTACATCTGCAGACTAGACTAAACAACGGCTTTTTCTTTAAAACCTCTCTCTTCTACTTAAACCCTAAACCCTCCACTCCGACTAAAAGTGATGCTGAACCAACTGAAATCCCTTCCACCCTCCCTCCCCCCCTCCCCCCAACACACACACACACACACTCCCCCCTCCCGCCCCCGGCCCCCAAAGACAGCTCGTTGTCCCAAAGGGGACCCTAGAGTGAGGGGGGTCCTGTTTGGATTAGATGTAGTACTCTTTCTTTTCGTCCGAGTTGGTGTGGCCCCCCTCCGCGTTGATGATGGCCGTGTCGGCGTCCGCGGCGTCGTCCGCTCCTTTGGCTTCGTGCGTGAAGTAGGTACCTGAGGTGGAGGGGATGGAGGACAGAGTCACGGGCCGGGTAATAGGCCTGCTGCGTGGATGATACAAAAGATTAAAATGTGCCTCTACGTCCCTCAGCACCTAATTATGTAAATCCTTCTTGGTGCGGCCATTTACACAAACGCAACACCGGCAGGCTGTAATATTCAGATTATACATCATTTCCCCTCCTTTTCATTCCAATTGGCACATGAAAATCAGGGTTTCTGAAAAGGATCTTGAGTGTGTGGAAGAGCGCGGCTCACACCTTCAAATTAACCTTGTCAAGTTCAGAGGAGGGAAGAGGAGGAACTAGAAAGCCCCTTAAAAGTGAATTCACAAGATTTATTCACATCCTATCGCAGTGGAGGTTTATTATGAAGGCAACATTCCAGATCGAATGAAAATGGGCTCTTCAAATGAGGGGAAAAAAACTCAGCTTGAATAGATGGAAACAAGGTTGAGCTGTATCGCAAGGATGGTTACCTGGAATGTGTTGAGATTGTAATTTAAAGCCAAATCCTATTTATTTCTTCAATTCGGTGTTTGATTGAATTTGATGCGTTCAGCACAAAAGAAGGATCCCTGTTGACTTTGCAATGCGATTGTTTTCATGCTGAGGGACAATTAGTGTCCTTCGACCCGAAACCATTCAAAAGTTCAATTGTGTGACTATTTCTAGAGAATTTAAATACAACATTCGTATTAGTATATAAGACACAGATGCTTTTGTTTACCGTATTCTGTGAACGTTTAGATTTAGAGTTAGCTGCCTCTATAATTACATTTTTCAGTATTTCTTTTCTCTTTTATTCCTTGTTAGTTTTATATGAGTTCCTTTAATGCGTGTGAAGAGGGACTGTTTGCACGTTAGTGATGTGTCTTCCTGCCTTTGAACAATTTATTTTCCGAACTCAGTTTGTACATCGTGTGCCCTGTTTTTCTAAATACAGAGGAAAAGATGTATCTGCCAAGATACTGTAACAGCATCTTCATAACCTCCCACCTCGACCTGTGACGGCATTTGATTGGCTGACCAGTTTGCTGCCGCGTCTCCATGGCGATTTTGATGACACTGAGTCCGGCGCACGACCTACTGTCCCCGTGCCGCTTTTGGTTTATCAAGCCGTATTGGCTTCAGGCCACCGACCTTTGTGTCTTGCGAAGTAGCGCCCCAGGACGATGAGTAGACAGAGCATGGCGAAGACGACCACGGCCACCACTCCTCCGATCACGGCGTGGTCCACCGTTCTGGGCGCTCCTTCTCCAGCCCGCGAATCTGAAAGCGAAGGCGAAATACAATCGATTCAAACATATTTTGCCACTAGGAGCTGAAATGAAAGTGTGGCGTGTTTGTTCATGTTTCAGTTTCACTTGCTTGTTGAAAAGGGCCGCTGTGAAAAATCTCTAAGTATAGCGTGCACTTAAACTCCAAACTTTCTCTGAACTCAGGGCACGCCGGCCGCCGTCTAGCAGCAGGTAATACACAAAGTAAGTTTGAGTACCTCGTTGAAACCCACTTCGAACAGCCCTTCAAACGCAGGCGCCCCGGAGCAGCAGCGCGCTGCACCGATGAACGGAATGAAGCAGCTCCGATGTGGCCGAGAACATAAAATATGTCGGTTCTCAATGACTGCTCATCCTGCAGAGTGCATGATCTCTGTACACAGACATATTCCAATGGACCCCACCATAACTCAAATGCACGTGTGCTCCAATGGACTTACCCACACCAAAACCTTCATTTGCCAAAGCTTAAACACGTGGCTCCGCGGACTGAACCGGCTGGCTGGTGTTCGTTGAGTTCTTGACTTTATCCATTCATTTGTGATTCCATTAAAGGAATACAAGGTATTAAATGGAATCACGTCTTCTTTCTGTATCTTTTGTTGCCAATGAGAAGTCACAATCCTGGGACCGGTTTCTCTCCGACTTATCAAGCCGACATTTTAATAACCACTCTACGAAATTGCCACGATGATAACGGTTTGGTTTTGCCATCAGGAGTTGATTAAACTGAGCGGGACAGGAGTGACGATGTCCTTGCGGGGAGGGGGGGGGGGATCACTCGGGGACAGGTTTACTAAGAAAAAGGCGCTGCGTAAATGTGCGCTGCAATTTTCATCGGGCTTTCTGCAGCAATCTGTGTGTATTCAGCGGCTGATTTACTAAGGCAGCAGCAGCTCATTACGCAGTGGGCTCCTGGTGCTGCCCTCCAGACACACTCTGAAGGAGAGCTCATTACTATAACTCAGAATAAAGTTAGGATTTCATAATCTCACACTGTTAAGCCTAATGTCTTCATATCTGTTTCTAATGATCAGTTATTAGGGGACGGCCAGGCGCTTGCATCTATAAGGCGCGTTTCGCTCGCACAAAAGTAGAGCTGTGGTCGCCGTTGATCCGGCCGCACCGGAGAGAAATCCGCATAAAGCCGGAAATCGAAGCGCATGAGCCGTTTTAAAAGCTGCGACTTCCACCACACGATTCCCCACAGTGCAGTGACAGACATTTGGGACGTAATCTGTGACACGGGCAAAGGTTTGAATGGCTGCCCGTCTCCACGGCGACCCGAGCAGCGCTGTGGACACCCGCAGGTGTAGCCGACGGGACGGATTACTCGTCGCGGCTCAGGTGAACGCCATCCGAGCCGCACCTCCTCTTCCCCCCAGCGAGATCAACCTCTGTTAAGACCTCTCGTCTTGTACCTGAGAGGAATCTCTAAGGCAAACGTGTACACAACACACACACACACACACAAAGTAGCCACTAAATGGAAATGTTGGATGATGTTTTTAAGGCTTAAGTTAAACCGGACAACAACGCGCCCCTGGAACTCTTGGCAGTAATGCTGTGTGAAAGCGATTGATCAAGCGTGGAGATCCATGACAACCCAAAGTTAATATCCGCTAGCGGATGTGATTCGCCCTTCTCAGCACAAAGGAAGAGCACATTTTTTCCATCGCTGGCCGACGTGTTGCAGCAAAATGGATGGGAGGGGCGGGGGTGAAGGTGCAGGTGGTGGAGAGAGGATAACTTACTCGGCTTCAAGTGTTGCATCGAGATGTGACCCGGAATTAATTCGCCGCCCGCCCAGCACTCTATCTTATCTAATACAATGTGTACATTGCTAATGCATTTTTGTGCTTTCAGCTTATTAAGGGACCATTACACCGAACCCTTAACCTTCACTTCCCAGATAATGTCTTTTTTAAAAGACAAGAAAACAGGGATTGCCAGAAAAAGTACAAAAAAAACGAACGCCAGCCAGCTCTTAGCAATCCGATCACGTGGAGGAAACCATCAGCCCCCACAATCCATTAGCTACTCACTAAAAACCCCAACACACGCTTCTCCAGCCTCGTTCGACACTCAAGGGATTTGCTGTGAGCTCCAGAAAAAAAAAAAAAAAGAAGCAGCGGGCCACAATTTATTAACGAATAACAGAAACAGAGAGGGAGAAACATCATGGATAACATCAGCTACCACCCACCTCTACAACCTGCAGGAATAAAAGAGGGAGGTGGGGGAGGCAGATCAGCGCCACCTGTCAAACCCAACAAAACATTACCTGAGGGATCTAATAGGTTATTTTGACTTCAGATTTTCCTTTTTTTAGTGCTGGGCAGATTCAATTAAACTGAGCAGGAATCCCTCTGACATCCAATTCGCCCTTGTCAGGCCGCTAAAGCTGTGCTTTAACACACTTTCCTATTACGATGTCAATGTGGACCCTTGCTTTTGGGGAGGCGGGGGTGTGCGTTGCGGTCAGAGTGGTGGGGGCGGCGTGGACGGTTGCGGTAAACGATTCTTGGGTTGTCTGTATGATACGTTCCTGGCTGAGATTCACATACGGGCGAGGGGGGAGGAGAACATTAAAGGGTCCATAACAAGTCCACGTACAAGTCTATATCCTTTATTTCCTTCCCTTTAGAGCCCGGCCTGTAAGGTAGCTGCTGCCCTGTTGGTGGTGCCAGAGGGATGGATGTGGGGTCAGTAAAACCTCCTCTTACTCTGAAAGAGCTCGAGAGTACACGTCCTCTTACTAACACGGGGAAAACTTCCCCCCCTCGCAGGTTGCTTTAAGGTTGGAGGTCCTCGGAGCGCCCCCAGGACCTCACCCGGGGCTCCTGTCATTCTTTGTTTAACGTATCCTTGATTCCTTTCCTCTCCTGCTCGTGCAGCGTGCCTTTTAGCTGCTGGTAGAGCGCTGCACCGACGCTGAGTTCTAACCCAAGCGGCCCGGGTTTGTACCCCCCCCCGTCTCTCTTTTGCCTTTCCGGTCCCTCTCCGAGCTATCGCGGAATGCCAAAAGATATCTTAAACAAAGAGTAACTGCTCCAGTCTGCTTCTCCAGCTCTTTCAGCTATTGAAGCCGTGTGACGCTTACGCTGAGAGAAATATTCAAAGCCAATACATATTTTTTTCACAACCATTCCATCAAAAAGAAATATTGTACACGTCGTACACATCATTTCAAACCCATTCCACCAGAATTTGGCCTGACATATTTGTTATCTCTGGGATCTCCGCTGGAATTCAAAGTTAAGTTCGGTGTGTTTGAAGAGGTTGGTTTTCCAAATACTTGGCAAGGTGTCTTCTTCTTAAAGAGGAGAGACAGCAGGAGGGAGAGAGACAAAAATATGGTACGATTTACAGGAATCCTCTTTGGGGATCGTGAATATAAATCATTTCACGGCTGCGTGGAGGTCAGTAAAGGACTGTCAGACCAAACGATCGATCATCACTGAAGCCGCAGAAGTAGTGAATGGAAATTGCAATTTAAAGAATAATTCACGGTTCAATACCAGTCGGATAATAATAACTTCTGCACTTAAATGCTGTGATCGGAGAATTTCTCACTTGGTTGGTTATCATCTGTGATGATAATCTAAAAAGAAACATTTATACATGAGTTGTGATAAACCGAAATGATCCTTTAGCTTCACTGTCAGGTCCTATTTGTAATGATGTTTGTTTAGTCCATTTGCAACAGTCTTACTGTTTGTTAATATGCTGGGTGAGGGTCTGAGCCCAGTTTCATAGCATTCAGCACGCACACACAAGTGAGCACAAAGCTCAACATGCTCGCTGGATCCAGACCTCTGCAGGTATTTTATGCTGCAGCAACGATACGCCTGACGGAGTTACAGGGAAGTTGAGAAGAAAGATGGTCTTCCTGCTGAATATATGCTCGTTATCCCGTTCGGAAAACTGCCCACCGTATCCGCACCTCAACTGCACGTAGTCACCTTACGTCTTATTACAAAGTATTCTAACAATAAAGTTGTACAAGAGCGCACAGCACAGCACTGTACAAGATTATAATTTTTTTCAACAACGACATCATGGTTGCTTTGGGTGGGAACTGGGAACTCTGAGCTTTCCAATGCACCTGAACACATCTCGTTTCAAGAACCCATTAGCACATATGAGACATTCAGTGGCTCATTATCCATGGCCAAAATAATAGCCTTTAAAATATAAGTATTTAACATTTTAATTTTAATTTCATTTGTATTTACTCGTTACTGGTTATATAAATAATGCTAGCGGACCTTTCAAAGGACACCAGGAATATGCATACAAGCTTTTTGGTGAGGCGGTCGTAGTCTTTGCTACACTGTTTTAGGCTTCCACCCCCCCCTTGGAACTATGGCTCAACATTAAAAGTTTTTGATGGAATGACAAAGCCAAAGACATCTGTCATAATCAAACAAACCAACCAAAAAAGAAAGGGGGTTGTCTGGGCTCCATATTTTGAAAGAACCCTGTTTATAAACCGCAAGAAGTGCCCGGGTGACAGCTGCAGAGCCTGTGCTGTCAGTCTGTGGGGGCACTCAGTCCCAGGCGTCCCATATGAAGCAATTTGCATGTCATATCAGCGCGTATCAATTATGAGCAATTACTGTCACCTCTTGAAATACAGTTTGTGGTATTATCTCACAAGAGTCAAAATTGCATGGGTCATTGTTTTAACAATCAAAGAAGTGCACTCTCCAGGCAATTTGAGTTATTGCCTTTCCTTGAGGGTCTCTTCTGTCGAGCGTTCGATTAAGTGCCGTGACGCGTGTGTGGAGATGAAAAACATCCGATATCCCAAAAAACGGTCGGGGACATTTATATATATTACAAAGAACCACGCGGCTGTCTGAGTACCATGACTCGTTTGAAAGCTGTTCCTCCAGCTTCTTGTCTCAGAGTGTCAAATCCAGAAGAAGGTCCCCGAATTGTGGATTATCTTGCTGAACAAAATATGGAAGTTTCATCTTTTTTTTT